CTGTTCCAATTTGAGTTTATTGCTGACTATGAGTCCGAAAGTATCATCGCTTTGGTGAATTTCGTATCGAGGCAACATTATTGGCATATTGCTACCCTTATGGCCTCTATTTCTCCTTCAAAAGCGGATCTATTGCGTTCCGCTGCTGCGTAGGAAGAGAAGAGTTTAGAATAGACACCTGCACAAATATTTACATGGTTTTCTAGGTAAGGCCCATCAGTGAAGCCTTGGAGCCTTTGATCTGCAGGATAGTTGACAATGATTGTCTCAAGGGCCAGTGAGCGCAATTGTTCTGGAGGGGTGTTTGATTTCCTAAAGTAGTCAAGCAGTTGGATGCTAATGGGTTTATGGGTAGAGGGAGGCTTTTTGGTTCGTCATCGATTTGTAATGCTTTCTTACATTCTATGGCTTTCTGTATTAGATCAGATTGCGTTTTTCAGATCTCTAGGTCTATTCTCCTAGGTGCTGAACAATTTATTCATGGGAAAGAGCAGTAGCTTCTCATACAGGATCAAGGCCGTCTCTTTGACAAGGGAACATATTGTGGTGCTTCCTGTAACCAAGATCATTGCATCAATGGGTGTTGATCTTAACGTCAAAATACGCGAGGGTCTAGAGCAACAGATTTCTATTGGAAATCAATTTATCTGAAGCAATTATGTAAAGCTTTCCACATAATGCCCCAACACATTTAGAAGCATTGTTAGAGATGAGGAGGATGAATTTTCCAGGTGTTCCAATGGCCTAAACAGGTAGCAGTATCGACTCCACCTCTTTGATTGTTAAATATTATCCAATGAAGAGAACTCGTGAAAATATTTAACTGTGAATAGGCAAAGTGAAGAATTAACATGATCACAGTTCCCCAAACGCAACAGTCAGCCAGAAGGTTTTGAGTGATATCTCCAGACACCTTCTGTCTCATGGAATACGAGGACTATTAAGACACAAAAGTATATATTAACTCTAATTGAGAATCAAAGATGAAAGCAAACGTATATCAAAGGACAAAGTCTACATCCGAATTCCACAAACTATTTCTTCCAACATTCAGCTATGCATCCCCTTGATTAAAGAACAGTAATCTATTATTCATTTAAAAAAGGAGATAAAGTAATTTTTAAGCCATTCAAATAACAACATTAACAATTGAGAATTAAATAACACTTACAGAATTTCTTTATCGTAAATTTCAGACATCATACAGCTTTCTCCGCCAAGATACTCATAGCACAAGCAGTGAAACGAACACTGGAGTTCGCATAGACGAAGAACCGTGAATAGGAACCTGAATTTATGATAACCACAGCAGCAATGATACTGAGAGAAAGAAGAAGAAGAAGAATATGATGAACACGAATGGGAGCAATTTTGGAAGGAGTACCCACTAAAATAATCCATCATTTAGATCAATTTCACAGTGGCTCCCTTCATCGCGATAATAGTACATGTAGGTGAATGTTGATTAAGCATTCAGTATGAAATGGCAGCCCACAAACTCGACACTGAAACATCTTTTCTGCTGATGCAATTATACGACTTCCTAAACGACGATAATGCTGATCTGAAACCCTTGCTTCCAAGGCTGTAGGGAAGGGCACTCTTGATATTGGTTTAAACATATGACCCAACGTTATGACTACCGATGTCGTTATTAGAACCATTGTGTTGATTCAACCTCTGTGGTTCCAGCTTCTCCTAAAATGTTATGCCATTAAAAATTGAGCATCTCAACGAACATCTTCCACACCTGCACCACCAATTTCGTGTAGTAAATTGATTGTGTCAAATGGTGTAGAGTCAACAAGGCAGGTTCGTGTTTAGCCTCAGATCGAAACTCTTGTAGCCAATCCATTGGAAACGCCATTCTTGATATAGGTTAAATATGACCAAACGTTATGTCAGCTGTCGTCGAAAAGCTTCAGACCATATCTTGATGTTCCATGATAAAGTTTACATAGAATAATTCGTACAATGTATGTATGATATACAATTTTGTTTATGTTTTGAATTTCATATGACTGTGGAATTATCGCATTCGGCATTTAGTACCACAGGAGCCTAAGACAACTGTTGTCCAGTTTTGAAAGATTGCTTACAAAAGCAAGTAGACAAAATATTCTGGAAGAACTGGCGTACCATGTGATCAAATGAAAAACTTACCAGTTGACAATGATTGGAAGAAACTCTAGAACCACATTGTAACTAGACAGTTCTATGGCCGATCAAGTCAATGGGTGTGACCTCTAACTAAGAAATCGAATCCGATTTCATTTCGTTTTATATAGTGACCCAAACACCACATTTCCCCATCTTATTTGCACACAATTTTCACAAATGCTTTTCTCTTTCAATGTTTTCATTGACATAATATTCATCGTTTAGTTGAGGCGACAAAGCAAAAAGAACATGCTCTTGGAGAGAATAAAATTGATCAGGGTGAATGTTGCTCGACTCATGTTCCTCTCGTCCAATCACGTAACTTCAAGACTCCCAAATGAACACAACTGAGTGAATGATATCAAATGCAATTGATTCACCTATTTTTGCAGGAGCAATATTTCATGAGTTGGTTCTTTTCATTCCCAAAATGCCAAAAGGGAATGTTAGGAGTTAATGTGTCATTATGCTGAATTAATGAGTTCTCAAATTGATTGTAATGGTGGGCAACCCCACACTTGATGCTCTGAACAAACACGGCGAATGCTTCAAAGCCTGCAAAATGAGGCTTCAGTTCCAAAGTGACTGAAGCTCTTGAGAATTTGTTGGATCTGGAATGTTCTTGGTGGATCTAATAGTAGAAATTGTATATATGCATCGATTTTACTCTTCTTCACGAATTTTCATTTGATGCTGTTGGACAAAATGTGTGTATGCAAATGTGCGGTCACTGCCATTATCATCTTATTGAACAGTTTTGGCACAGCACTAATTCAAGCAGATTTTGAAATGATCGTCTTCTTGCCATCAATATCGTCTTTGGCTTAATTGACTTCCAGGTCAAGCAACTGCACAAAATTGACCAACAAGATCTCAAATGTGAGTTTAATATTTTTCAGCCATTCCCGTTCATGACCTAAGAGACGAATATCGGTTACCGTAAATTGTGACCTCACATTCCATCTACTTTTACACAGTGAAGAGAACACAGGGGTTTGCATATGTAGCGGATTGCTACTTTATTAAAGCCTAACTGACTCAGAAATCTCTATGGCAGATTCTCAAACATCTAAGACCGACTCAGAAATCTCTATGGCAGATTCTCAAACATCTAGCTATATTCCCAGAACCAGCTAAGCTATAGCCCAGCTCTAAAGGCAACAGACGTGTAGCATGGAGCACGTTTATTCAGTACGTGTATCGCGGATAAAGTGTAACGCAGGAAGCTTAATCATGATGAGGATGACAGATTAGGTTAAACAAACAAATGTTAATGGTAGGGGTGTGCGATAGACTTACCTCCACGTGGTGCACCCTGGGCAACGTATACTCATACGGCAAAAAAGTCTATAAATCGGCAGTTGACTTCGGACTTCAAACTACCATGACCCTATTGAATTTCATATTCGAATAATTCCACAGTATTCACCTCACCTTTTTTCTACCTTTCTGTCCGCCTGTCTCTTTTACGTCTGTGAATCATTATTCTTCCCCCTCTCGACTTTTTACCAGTTGGATGTTCATCTTCCTTTCTGTGAAGCATGAAGTCAACTAAAGGGCTAATGATACCTATCATAACGCCTACCATTTGAAATAAATAAATATAGGTTAATGGTTGGCCACTGTTTGTAAGGTCGCACCTCCCAATCCTGGCGTGTAGGCATGCGATGACGTGTCCCTCACATAGACGAAGTAGGACGAGTAGTTGCTTTAGTTATGTTAATTATTACAACAGGAACAATGATAATTTGATGAAAGAGAAATATATTGCCTCGATTGAAGTGGATATAATTAGTAGACTATTAATGGGTAACTTGCTTACTGTCTAATTGTGAAATAGTTATCCGGTAAATATTGGCTTAAAGATTGGGGAATGTTTAGCCACAAGTCAACGTTTGACTATCTCTCTATTTGACCCACATAATGTCTTACAAAAAGGGGTGTGCGATAGACTTACCTCCACGTGGTGCA